CCATTTTGTGGTGGGGTCAATAAGCAGGAGCCATAGTTTTAAGGTAAGAAGCAAGTGGGTTAGAGGAGATTTGAGAATAGTCTTTATCACAAGAGGGCTGTGGGTATCTGGGCTCACTGCCTGAAAGGGTGCTAGAGGCAGGAACCCTCAAGACAATAAAAGAAATTATTTAGATGAGCACTTGAAATGCAATAGTATACAAGGCTATAGGCCAAGTGCTAGAAAATGGGATTAAAATAGATGGATGTTTAATGGCTGATGTAAATGTGATGGGCTGAAGGGCCTCTTTCATGCTGTAAAAACACTAGGACTGTGGCTTTCAATCTCAGCTCCAGTCTCAAGCAACCCACTTGAATTTTCTACCCAAGATCCAAAAACAGTACCTCCCTGGTAGGCCTATCATTTCAAAAACTCATGCCCCTCTAAACTGATTTGGTCCTACCTCAGGTATTCTTTACTTGCATTGTCCAGTCTCTTCCCACCTGCAGCCATGATTCTTCAGGTGACTTCAATCACTTGAGCAGTTTCTGTCCCCTGTTTAGTATGAACATTGAATGCTTCTGACCGCCACCAGGATTGTCTGTGGTCTCTCTCCTTCTTCCTTGAATGGAGGCCCAAACAGACCCCATCCAATACCTTCCTCTGCCTGACTGATCTTCTTCACACATGGAACTTCTCCTTTAAATCCACTCACATCCTTTAAAATAAAAGGTGTTATTATAGGGCCTGCAGAACCTCTCTTTTTTTCATGAGAAATGTGACGTATTTGTTATTTCAGTCTCACTCTGGCCCCCTTCTTTATCTCTCATGAATAACTATGTTGCATTATTTCCTGCTTCTGCTTGAACTGTAACATTTCGTCAACTTTACTTCTAATGCGCAGTCTTCTCACTCCCACAAGGCCCATCCCTGACTCCTCCCTTCTCTTAATGGACTTCTCTCTCTTCATTTCTAGGCAGAAGCTATCAACTAATAACCTCTATAAACGTAATGGCTCCCACAGATGCCTTGACTACAATTCCCACATTTTATAAGGGATTGTCCCAGTTTGGACAATAAAAACTTCCATTCCATCACTTCTGATATGTTTTCATTTCCCCTCAACTAAGGACTCTCCTCAGATACCAACAGTGGTTGACAGGTAACTCAACAATTTCGTTCTAATTCATGCACTTCTTTTCTCCTGCCCCAGCCCTTCCCTCCCTGCCAGAATATTGATTAGGGTTTCCTTTGTCCGCCTCTTTCACATCACCATGCTCTTTCACATCACATCATCCTCTGCTATTACCTTGTGTGCTCCCACACCAGACCTTCTTTTCTCTCTCCTTAGCATTTTGAAGTGACCTTTCCTTCCACTTCCATGACATCCTGGTGTACTCCTCTGTCACCTCCAATAACACTGTCTTTCCTATGGCACCTTTGTAAGCACAGGAAATGTAAGACTGGCCTCTTACCTCCTATTATCTAAGACCCCAGAAACTTCTCCAGTGATTTACGTGTACATTTTTCAATTTAGTATATTGTATTCACTGCTCACAATGTTGTCTCCTCTACATTGGAGTATCAAATGTAGACAGGGTGACAGCTTTGTGGAACACTTCCCTTTAATCTCTGAACACGATCCTGAGCTTCCAGTCAACTGCCATTTTAATTCTCAAGCCTGTCCTTTCTCTCTCTGTGGCCTGCTACAATGTCCAGTGAAGCTTACCACAGATTTGTGGAAACTTATCTTTCAACTGGGCACTTTACATCCTTCTGGATTGAATATTGTATTTTAGATTTTAGAATTTTAGATCATATTTTCTGTCCATTTTTGTTTCTTTTCATGTTAGTTTGTTTTGATCTCTAGTTTCTCTTTCATCTCCTTTATTTCTGTTTAGGTAGCAATTATTCTTCAATTCACAGCTCCTCTAATTCCAACTTATGTTTCTCTACTTGCCCTCACTTGGCCTTACACCACGAAAACTTCTGACATTCAATCTCTCTTTCCTTCAATTCCTATCACAGATCTTTCTTTCATGCTTCTTCAGGCTCTCAACCCCCTTCATTTGCTCAAGACTTATTACATTTCTAACCTTTTCCTTATCAATATGTAAATATTCTTACTAGAGAAGGAGAAAAACTTGACCTTCTGTTGGGAAGTAAGGCAGGGCAAGTAACTGAAGTGTTAGTAGGGTAACACTTTGGGACTAGTGATCATAATACTATTAGTTTTAAAATATTTTTGGAAAGGACTAAGCCTTCCTTAAAAATTAAAGTCCTTAATTGGAGTAAGACAAATATTACAGTTATGGAACAAAAAATTTCAAAAGTTGTTTGGAGAAGACTATCCGTAGGTAAAGGGACAACTGACAAGTGAGCGGCCATCAAAAGTGTGTTAATGAGACTTCAGAGGCATTATGTTCCTGTTAGAGTGAGAGGTAAGGCTGGTAAGACTAGAGAACAATGGATAAATGAAGATATCACGGTTCCAGTCAAGAATGAAAAAGAATCATATTTTTGATACAGACAACTAGGAACATTAAACCTCTTGAAGAGCGTAAAGAGTGCAGGGGCATTCTTAAGAAGGAAATAAGGAAAGCAAAATGAGGACATGAAATAGCCTTGGCAGATAAGGTTAAAGTTAATCCAAAAAAAATTCTACAAATACATTAAGAGCAAGAGAGCAACTAGAGAAAGAGAAGGGCCTTTTAAAGATTAACAAGGTCGTCTTTGTGTTGAACCTCAGGAGATGGGAGAGATATTAAATGAATATTTCATGTCAGTTTTTACTGTTGAGAAAGAAATGAAGGCTAGAGAACTCAGGTAAATAAATATTGATGTTTTGAAAACAGTTCACATTATAGAAAAGAAAGTGACTGAGGCCTTAGAAAATATAAATCTCTAGGACCGGATCAAGTGTATCCTAGGATGTTGTACAAAGTTAGGGAAGAAATTGCAGGGCACCTAGCAGAAATAATTGTATCATCTATAACCGCAGGTGAGGTGCTGAAGGACTGGAGGGTGCCATTGTTCAAGAAAGACTGTCAGGAGAAGCCTGGGAACTACAGACCTATGACCCTGACATCAGTGGTGAGTAAGTTTTGGAAATGATTCTAAAAGATAAGATTTACATGAATTTGCAGAGGCAAGGATTGATTAAGAATAGTCAGCATGGTTGTGTACGAGGGAAATCATGTCTCACAAACTTGATTAAGTTTTTTAATAAGCAGCCAAAAATATTGATGATTTATTTATTTGGACTTTAGTAAAAGCCTTTGACAAGGTTCCACATGGTAGACTAATTAGTAAAGTTAGGTTACATGGGATTCAGGGAAAGCGGGCCAATTGGATATAAAATTGTCTTGACAGTAGGAGACAGAGGGTGGTGGCAAAGGTTTGTTTTTTTGGAAACCTGTGACCAGCGGTGTTCCACAGGGATCGGTACTGGGTCCACTTGTTTTTGTCATTTATGTAAATGTTTCAGTTGAGAATATAGGAGGCATGGTTAGTAAGTGTGCAGATGACAGCAAAATTGGTGGTATAGCGGACAGTGTAGAAGGTTATATAAGATTACAAAGGGATCTTGATAAATTGGGTTAATAGGCTGAGGAGTCCAGATGGAGTTTAATTTGGATTAATGTGAGTTATTGCATCTTGGTAATATAAACGAGGACAAGACTTATACAATTAATGGTAGGGCCCTGGGTAGTGTTGTAGAACACAGACACCATACTTTTTTTGAAATTTGCAACAAAATTAGATATGGTGGTTAAGAAGGTATTTAGCACCTTGTCTTCATTGCTCACACCTTTGAGTATAGCAGTTGGGACACCATGTTGATGTTGTACAGAATGTCGGTAAGGCCTCTTCTGGAGTACTGGGCCATGTTCTGCTTGTCCTGTTATAGGAAGGATAGTAGCAAATTGGAGAAAGTTCAGAATAGATTTACCAGGATGTTTCTGGGAATGGAGGGTTTGACATATATAAATAGATTGAAAAGGCTGGGACTTTTTTCATTGGAGGGTAGGAGATTGAGAGGTGGCCTGATTAAGGTTTATAAAATCATGAGCGGAATAGATAAGGTGAATGACAAGGGTCTTTTCCCTAGGGTAGGTGAGTTCAAAACCAGGGGACATATTTTTAAGGTGAGAGGAGAAAGATTTAAGAAAGACATGAGGGGCAACATTTTTGCACAGAGTGGTTCATGTGTGGAATGAAATGCCAGAGAAAGTGTTGGATGTATGTACAGTTATAATGTTTAAAAGACATTTGGATAAGTTCATGAATAGGAAGGGTTTGGGCCAAGCGCTGGCAGGTGGGACTAGTTTAGTTTGGTATGTGGTCGGTTGGACTGAAGGGTCTGTTCCAATGCTGTATGACTCTATGACACTATAACTGTGTTATTTGAATAGAGGGTTTTGATTAAAGCCTAATGGTGGACTAATCAAATCATATCTGGAACATAGCGGTTTATACTTGCCTTTAAAAAATATATACATTTAAGGACTAGGCTTTCTCCATAATATACTTTGTGGCGGGGGGTGAGGTGGGTGTCTGGTCTGGTACATAACATTCTGTCAAAAGATGCTGCCAGGCTCTGTTGAGAAATACCAGCACTTTTTGTTCTAATTTCTAACTTTCAACATCCATCATAATTTTGCTTTTTTTCTGATTCTACTCTCAATCAATTAGGTGCCATGAGAAAATTTCTGGTTGCATAGAAAAACTTGGTTTTCTATTTTGTTCCTTTTTAGTATTTTACTTAAAGTAGATCTAACCAAATGAATTAAGTTTATAAGATACTGTCATCTCATATTTTTCTTTCTAGAGAAGCTAGCCTGCTTTCATGTTAGCTGCAGGTAAAATGTGATAGTAAACTATAAGATAATTTACAAAGAACCTAAAGTTAAATTATACTGACTGCTCATCACTCTGAGAATCACTAATTCACACAGATATTTCAAGTAATTTAGTTTATTAAAGTGTATGAAAATAGCTCAAAAATGACATAAGCAGGTAAGAAAATACAGAGTAGGAATTATTTTTGCATATGAACTACCTAGCGCACATTAAATAGCTACTGGTGTAGAAATATTACTTGCACAAAAAGCTATTCTGATAATTTATTACCACATTGGCCACAAAAAATAAACAAAATTGCAATTATTTACATAATGTAGTACAAAACATACAAGGCAAATAATACAAAGATGCATAAACATTATTATATAGAGTTTTAAAATAGATGCTTTAAGGCTTCCTCTTACAAAATGTCATGTTTTATAATGTCCTTTGACAAAAACAATGGTGTAGAATCCAATTGCAGTGTGCATGTTGAGCAAAACCTTTACAAGCATTCTTCGAAAGGAAAAATGTATTTACGTATATTCTACAAAAGTATTTGTATATAGGGAGTGTCTTGCTCATTTAGAACTTCTGCTAGTCAGAAAATTCAATTTTATCTCTAAATCTTCGTGTATTTTCTATGTTTTCTATAATATCTTCTCCTCATTACAAGGGGCCAATTAGGAGACCGTGTTCTAGAGCTCTGACTAGTTATTCAGAACATCAAAAAGAACTAGCCTAAATTGTGTAGGCTCCGGATTATCAGAGAATGGATATGCAACAAAAGATACATGTCAGGACTCCACAGAAGTTCTGATACACAAACTCATGTAGGAATTTTTTAAACTTGCAATAAATAATTCCTTGCTGTCCAGATCCCTGTGCAAATATGTTCGACTCTGAAGTCAAGTGAATGACTTAGGACAATCATATTCCGCCATTCTCTGTGAGGGACCATTACCATTTCTCACTGTCACAGAGAGCATCTGTGTTTATATAGCTTGACAGGCATCACTGCACATCATGCATAAGACAATGCAAAGAGGCGGGTCTCCATGAACTAACAGAGCCAGTATCGGGGTAGAAAATGTGCCATTGTCATTGTTTTGTAGTCACATTGCTCTCTAGCCTGCTGAGGTAACTAACCCACCACTGAACAGTGAACACACTTTACAAGTAGTCTATGTCCAGCACAGTTGCTAAATAAATCAGTCATTTGCATGCTCAGAATAAATAGTTTGGCAGCTGTCAGTGCAAGTTCTTGCTTAAGATCATAATTTCTTTAGTGAGCATGAAATGATCTTGAGTCTTTTGCGGGTTTTTTTTTGGAAAGAATGAAATAATTACATAGAACGCACTACATAGAAGTAGGGCCATTCAACTCAAGTAGTCCAAATAGTCTGTTTGTTTAATTCACCTTTCCTCACCTAACTTTATGAACCTAACCCTTTCGTCCCTTCTTAAGCATGTCTGTACTACTGGCCTCAGCCACTCCCTATGATACACGCCGTCGCTGTTGTCTGTGTAAAGACATTTCTCCTGAATTCTGAGGTCTTAGTGGCTGGAGGCCATTAGCAGCCTGGCCTAGTGGCTAGCTGCAGGAGGAAGTGCTGCCGGTTCTCTGACGGGTGGGACTTGTTGATGTGCCTGCTCAAGCCCGCCGAGCTCAGGAAGCTCGAAGGGCAGTGTTTGCAGGTGAAAAGCTGCCCTCCCAGGCCGTCGGCAGGCTCCTGCTGTTCGGCTGTGGGGCTGAGCAGGGCTGGTTCCCCACAGGTCACCGCATGCCACAGCAGATGCTTGTTGCGGATGTCGGCGGACGGCAGGTTCACATTGCACAGGGGGCAAGGGAAGCTGAGGCGGCTCCACTGCAGGCGCCTGTAGCCCGCGGAGCTGGCGGCCTGGTGGCCAGACAGGTGCTTCTCCAGGGAAGCCTGGCGCCGGAATCTCTTGCTGCACAACAGGCACTCGAAGCGTTCGGGGCGGCCCGGAGTCCCTGGGGAGCCGCCCTCGCTAAGCTCGGTGCTCACCTTGGAGCTGTCCATGGTCTGAAATCCGCGGCGCTCCCCGGCGCTCAGGCCCTTGGAGTTCTCTTTGCTCTCCGGGTCTATACGCTGCCGGGGTCCGGGCCAGTTGTGCCTCTCCTTGCCAGGCTCTGCAGCATCGCTGTTGGCCCCGGAGCGAGGTTTGTGCCACCTGCGATGGGATGCCAGGTTAGCCGGGCAGCTGAAGACTTTCTGGCACTCGGGGCAGCGGTATTCGACCCGGACTATCCTGGAGCATCTGTGCTGGGCCAGCGAGAAGGGATCCGAATAGGTTTCTCTACACAGCTGGCAGATATACCCGGCCAGGAGCTGGGGCTTTGCTGATGCTGGCGCCGCCTGGCAGTCCTTGGCGTCCACTTTAATCCTCAGGCCGAGCACAGGGGAAGTGCTCACCTCGTCTTGGAGACGGAGTTTTCTGCTCATTTTGGGCTTCTTCGGGCGGGACTTGTACTTGCGGTGCCAGGGGTCTGGGCCAGTTCGCTTGGTGCCCGGTAAAGTTGGGGTTTGTGGGTGACTGCTGCCAGGCCGGGTACCCTCTGTCGGCGCCCCCAGAGACCTCTCTCCCGGCCTGATGGCTTCAGCCGCAGCTGAGGGCTCAGCACCAGTAGAGGAGGTGAAGCAGCTCCTATCCAAGGCAGAGGGTTCCAGTCTGTGGCCGGTGGGCACGGCGGGGCTGCAGGAGGCAGCAGACCAGTCAGTGAGGCCAGATTTTGTACAGCCTCTGCTGGTGTAGCCTGTGGCAGGCTCAGTCTCCTCTGTCTGTCCCTGGGCTGGCTCCAAGCCTTGATCCTCTGTCACTCGGCAGTAAAGTCCCTCCGCGCCGCCGCGCTGGGAACCTGACTGTGCAATAAGACTGTCCGGGCACACCGCCGGCCCCACAGCCACTCTCAGAGGGTCGCTTTGAAGTGGCTGCTCGTCTTCAGTCCGAATCCTGTACGATAGCGGTGACCATTTGCTGTTCCTTTTCACTAAGAATCCTCTGGGCATCTTTGAGCTGGCGTTCGACAGTTTTGCCGAAGATGACCCGCGAGGACTTGCGCAGAGCTTTCAGGAACCGAGTCCAGGTCTATTTCTACTTACCCCCTTCCCCCCAACACACACCATCCCCCCACCCCCCTCCCCTAGGTGTGAGCATCAGGAGACGGTGGCACTAACTCTGCACATGCCCTGTCTCGCTTTTATTGCCGAAGGAGCTGTTTATGGAGGGGACTCTTAGTCCAATCAGCGCCACTGGATCGCTCAGGGTGGCTCGGGAGGTGGAGAGAAGGGACAGCGGCACAGTCTATTGCGACAAAGAGGTAACCAGGGATATTATCTGTGAGATGGGTTTAGAAAGAAAACGGCAAGGAAAGCCCCCTTGTCTTGCCGCGCTCAAAAGACACACACACACTCTCTCGCACACACTTTCTCACACACACTCTCTCACACACACTTTTTCACACACACACTCTCTCTCACACGTGTAACTTTTTGTGCATGACATAATTTTCTGCAGCGTCGCGGTCATATTGATGGGGTTAGACTGCTTTCTCAGGTACAGGGTATCACTTACACACCAGGTTTCTGCTTCCAGTGACCGCTTTTCGGGTCTAAATCCGTTTTTCACTCTCCCTGGCCCTAAACAATAATAAATAAAATAATAAAAATAAAAATAAAACAATAATAAAGTAGATATCATCGCCACCCTGTTGCCCGTTTTATTGTATTTTAGACTCAGTGCCTTTCAGCCATGTGAAAATTGACTCGTTCCATGCCAATCTCACAGTCTGTGTATGTTTCCTCGGGTAAGGTATGTTATCGACAAAATCCTTTCGTGTATTAACCTGATGTCAGGTCAGATTAAACGATTCCGCGTCTAATCATTCTTCTCAAATTGTGAATCGACGCAGCGTTTGTAAAGGTTTGGTTTCTCTTGCGGTAAACAAACATGCCTCGATTATCCCGAGAAACGGAAATCAGTTCTCGGATTCGCTTAAATTGTTGATTTAATTGAGTTATCTTTGGTTATAATAAACTATTTGACATGTATGGACCAAGAAAATAACGCTTGTACCACGATAAATCCATTCGATTTCTTAAAGCATTTCCCAGCAGCAAGCGATCAATAGTTATAGTATTTGACACAATTGCAGTAAATGCATTTTACTTCCGTTGAAATAAGCGTGTGATGTTCCTAACTGGGTGAATGCACGGTATCACAGTTTCTTTGTTTCACGTGTGGGACATGGGGTCTGCTTCCCAAACCTGGCGGGTTTTGTTCCAACATCATCGCACAACAGGTGTCTGCAGTGGGTAGTGAGATAACTCAATGTACACGGTTCGGATCAAAATGACGGCAGGGTGTTTGAACACCCAAAGCGTTTCCAGTAAAAGATTGTTTTTTTTCTAAGACCTAGAGAACACAATCCCCTGATAAATATGTCGATTGAACTGTCGTCACTGTATAGTGAAATTACCAGCCTAACATGTCAGAACTGCTTGGTTAGAAAGTCATCAATGTAGTTGCAACAGCGGGGCTGTTTGAAGAGTAAACGCCGGTTCAATGTGTACATAGCAACAGTGTTTTTGTTTATTTTCCGGTTGATTTTCCATCTGAGTCAGTTTTCCGGGAGAGAAGGCCAATCCAACGCCTAATTGTCACCACCATTGAGCGTGCATTTTCGGTAGTGAGGGTGAGGGTTTCAACCTAAAACGTCTGACGTGATTTTGCTCAAGAGTCATATTGAATAACAGGGTGTGCTCTCACAGAGTGTTCGGCTGATGCATAGTTGCGGGCAGTAGGACATTTCCGATAAAAGGGGATTATGCGGATTCTGTCAACGTTGTTTGGTCAGCAAAGTGGAGGGGATTGACGACCTGGTGCTCTTTGAAACTGTGCTTTAAGGAACTGGCAGCATCTCTCAGCTCGAATAAGTCTTGTGGAAGTTAATCAACATGTTTGTTTGAGGAAAGGGCCAGTTTGTACCGCTGCCTGCATTCAGTCATCTGGTATCTCCAGCCGACCACCGGGACTTATTTCCATACAGCTGCCCCGTTTTTATTTTGCCTCTAGCCGGCACTAGACCCAGCAGGATTGACTGTCTAAACACTCCTCTCCTTTCGGAGGAATACATCTTTAAATTACACTTCGATTCAGCCAAAATCAGATTACAGGTTTACATGTTATGTGGAGGTGAGGGGGCCAGGGGGGAGGGGGGGGGCAACTAAAACGCAGGTTTCTAATATTGTTGACCGACAATTTTAAACCTGGGGGTAACTGACTGCATATTTGCGGCTGGGTCAAGATCTTCAGAAGTTCCACGTGAAGTGTGCGTGGAACCTGCCGCGCCACTGTACCTGGAGAACTTGATCGAGATCACATAACCTACTTCCACTAGAGTTTAATTCAACCGATCCCACAAATGAAGTAAACAGTGGTGTGTGTTATAGCTGCGTGTGTATGGGGTACCTCACATACACAGACACTGACCCAGACACACGGGTGGTGAGTTCACACAAAACAGATACCATGTTGGTGGCGAGTTGGAATCTCTTGAAAACTTAAATGGAGAAACTAATTCCGCTAAAGTTGCAGAGTTCTAACACACAACGCCACGCGTATGAAATGAAAACAAAAAGAATTTAGGAATTCTGATCCCTGTACTTTTAAAAAAAAATGAAAGCAATAAAATCACACATTACTGAATAAAATGTACTCCTGGAAATCAGAAGATAACAGACCCAAAGAGGTAATATTCCCGTGAAAGATAGGTTTTTATCAGGCTGTCGCTGCCAGAGGGGATTGCGCGGCTTCTGTGTATCGCCGGGACAATGAGTGAGGCACAGAAGTCAAGCACAGGGGCTACTTACTGTCTTCAACCAGGGACTGTGGAAAACAGTTCCATTTAGCAAACCTCATCAACATTTTGCACATCAACAATTTGATGTTTAGTATCCTCAAAATGTTGATATGAACAACTTTAGATATCGTTTTGAAGTACAATAAAAATGTTCTTTCCAAATTGAAAACGTGACTTACCCACAGTTTGGGACAAAAAGGGGCTATTTAAATTGAATTATTTATTACTGTAATCATTTTCCCCAGATTGTTCATTACTGTAATTTTCCCAGAATTTTTAATACATTAATAATTAATACTGTAATTATTCCAGATAGCTTGATACCTTAATTGTTATTCCCAGATTGCTTAATACTGTGATGCTTATTCCCAGATTGTTTATTAGTCTAATTATTGTTCCAAGATGTTATTCTTTACCATCAGCCGTGAGTTATTTGAGTCACTGAAGTCTGTGAAAGCATAATGGCCTTTCAAGGATTCCCAAGAGGGGATTAACACAGCAGAAGTCGTTTTCAGCTTTATTATTATTGCGTGTGATAAGTCAATTGATGAAAACCAACAACATAACACGATTGGTAGATTTAGCGTATTTTGTCTAATACGTATATGGAATAGTCCCGGCAGATGCTTTCTGTTAGTTTACTTATGTTTGTTTGGTCCCAGTCTTTTTTTTACTGAGTGTGTAACCCGAAGCTCAGTATTCAGGATTTGACAGGCTATAGTAACTTGATGCCAGCTGACATGTGCGACCCTGACACTCGTGAATGACTAGGCAGCCAGTTTCCATACAAAAGTAACGGCTATGGGACTCGCTCAATTCCCCGTTCTCAGCTTTTGCCTGAGAATAATGTTTGCAGAGATATTTACTAACCCACTTCCCTAAATCTAATATTTTCGATATGTCGTACTTTTTGATGGCCCCATCTACTTTACATGCAAGTGTTCATATTCAGCTAACAATTTCCAGTAATTTACAGATGATACGCTGCTTGTAAGCAGCTGCTGGAAAGTATATAGCTGTACTTTGGAATCCTGATGCGGGTAGGTTAAAAACACCCATTTAACTGTACCAGCATGTATATCTCTAGCTCCTCGAAAGATGCAAGCGGACAGTGGGTAGTAATTTCGACTACATCAGAATATTAGGGGAGGTCTGTATATCATATGATTCTATGTATCTGAATTTGCCTATAAATGCAAATACAAGCACAGTGGTAAATTTCGCTGACATGTATAAAATACATCCCTGTTGTGTATACAAATACAAGTAATTTCTCCTCATCCCAGACCTAATGATCAATGACATGTTTCAATCCCTCAATAATGTTAATCCATAACCATTTCAAAGTGAGTTAACTGTCAATTGAGCCTGTCTATAAGTGTATTTTGGACTCAAAAGACTCCATAGGTAGCCATGGAAGCAATCATGGGGTGAGTTTTTGTATTTTGTAAAGCAAGTATCACCACTTTAGTTAACACTAGTGCAGAGTTTCATTGCTCCATGTCATCACTCATGTAGGAGATGACCAATGCAGATCCAATGCTGTACTCTTCTCAACTCCTAAGGTTGCCTTCTAATGCCTTGTACAATGAGGCAAATGATTCAATAAAATCTTGATTTGGCAGATTCCATTTAAAAACAGATCCAATTAGGTCTGTATTCTATAACAACTCAGCTGGTGTTTTCAATATTCTGAGCCTTTGCAAGATACCTCCTGGTTTCTAGTCACTTCTACATTGATGATCGAGGAACCTTCTTGTGTTTTCACATCACTATCAGTATTAATGGTTCCTGCCAAGTGTATGTTTGTGTGTAAATGGTACCAATTTAAGACTGAGATGAGGAAGAGCTTCTTCTTTCAGAATGTTAGAACTCCATGCCATAGAGAGTTGTGCGTGCAGAGTACCTATGTATATTTAAGGCTGAGATAGATAGATCCTTGATCAGTAAGGGAATCAAGAGATATGAAGAACGGGCAGGTAGTGGACATGAGAAGTGTCTGATCAGCCATGATCCTATTGAATGAATATGACTGAAGGTCAGTTGGATTTTTTTCTGCCTTGTGAATAATGCTGTGCTTCCTCTCTAAACTCTGTCTGATTGTGTTCCATTATATTTACATTAGCAATTGCCTTAAGTAGGAATCATGGTGTGTTCAAGTACCACGGCATTAGCCTCCGCCCGATCACTATAGAGTGATGGTGCACAGAAGGAGGTCATTCAGGTCCATT